ATGTCGATGGTGCATGGTATGCTTTTTTGTCGCTGATTTGACTTTTTCAATCGATTTGTGTCCTGTAAATTTGTGTCATTTGTACGTGTACAGAGTTGTTTAGAGAAGAACCGTTTGAAGAACCCTCTATGATAGTTACTGAAGGTGGACTTCTGCAAGATAGGCAATGGGTTGTCATGAACTGCTTTGGATTTGATTTGTGCAAGGGATCATGGATTTTGGCGGTGGCAGCAGTGCTGGGCAGGACCGTGTGACTGGGCAACTGCATCCCAAGGGATCTGCCCCCAAACCCCGAGTTTTGCGGGCGTGTAGAAGTCCTTGGCCCAATGAGTGTGGCTTTACATGTGTCAACTAAGAGAGCGCAAAAGACCCTTTCGAGGTGTCAAAATAGGACCGCTTCAGATGGTAGCGGAGCCAATGATCCTAGATTTGTGGAGGCTCGAGGCTGGGCAATGACAGAGACAGGACCCAGCATCTCTACATGTTGCCCAGCATGCAGGGTCACGAAGCCCATGGTAGTTTGGCTGGCTCCCCCACGGCTGGGGTGCACATGCTTGGGGTGTGTCGCTTTACATGTCATACTAAGAGACCGTGCAGACCATTTCAAAGTGTCAAACAGGACTGCTTCAGACAATGGGTTTTCATTGAGTTTTCTTCATGACAAGGGGGTCAAACTGGCAATACAACCCCCTGTGTCTATGCTTGCTTGGGTGAGATAAATTGACCTCACCGACAGCACAGCTGTAACCATGTGTTAATCTTTTAGATGGTTTGTTTCTGTGCGTGTGTTCCATGTACCTAAGATTGTGCTATGACATCATGGAGCGCAGAGATCTCAATGGGACCTTATCAGGGAAAGTGAGAGAAGGTAGGGAACAGGGAGAGTGAGTGAGTGCGTGCGTGGGTGGGTGGGTGAGTGAGGGAGTGAGTGAGCGAGCGAGCGAGGATATGGAGAACCTCCAGCAATCGTTGAATGCAGTGGTACTGCAGCTGCTGCAGAACCAGGTCGCCGCATGTCGCCGCATGTCTTTTGTCTCTTCATCAAACTCATAATGAGCGTTGAGCAGAGGGTGCTGACTGATCAGGGGACAGGAACACAGACATGTTGGCTGCAGTCAGTTTGCAAGGTTTCCGTACGGCTGAGCCAGTTGTGGAGGAGAAGTCATGCTGGACATCTTAGATAGCCATAACACTCTTGTGTGGAAGCCGCCTGGGGATTTGACTTGGGCAACTGTGTACAATCTGGCCTTCTCGGGCGGACCGAGAGTTCGTTTGGGGTCGATGGAATCTGGGAGAGGCGTGCTGGGCATTTCGGCTGTTTGGGGCTGCCTGGCCTTTCGTGTGCGATCTCCGTATTTACCGGAGCTCCGGATCGCCTTTTGCAAGGTGAGAAAGACTTGCTTCGACAAGTGCTTTCAGTCCAACCGCTTTCCAGACCGAATGAGACGCTTAGTGGCAGGAAGCCGGGGTTGGAGTGCTTCGAATCCATCAAAAAGGACACCGCCCCCAGAACACCTTTGGTCGCAAAGCCGCCAACTGGGGACCTGTCGTTTGGAGAGTCTTTGGAAGCTTTCGGCTCATCCCTTCTCATCCCTTCTCATCTATCTTCCAGCTCTCCTTCGTCCGAAACCTGGCGAAATCATGTCACTTCTCCCTCTTCTCCTTCTTCACCTCTCACCGCAAAAGAGCGCTAAAATAACTGTGACACTGAAGGTGCTCGACAATGGAAGCGACCGTTCTCCTGCGTTCTCCGCGTTCTCTCAGTTCTCCAACGAACCGGTGTGGACGGAGAATGGCCGCGACCGAAGCGGTGTGGCACGTCTCAGGCAAAGCGGATCATATTTGCCTCGCATGGCACTCAGATGGTGTGGTTGTCGCCGTCTTTCATGTTCAGAACATGGACAAAGACTCCATTCTAGGGAGGATGGAGGAGCATGTCATCATGTTTTTTTGGGTTAAGTCGGCCAGCAGCCGCAGCGTCACCCGTGTTTGAGGCCAAATGCATGGATCGCATGTATGAAGCACATCAGATTGTGGTGAAGGCTGGACGATCATGGACGAATTTGTGGCCCGTTGAAACCTGGGTACTTTTGACCGGTGCGGGTTTCTGAGAAGAAGGGGTCTCCCTCCCAAGCGGGTTTCATCCGGATCTTCGAGACCGGGGTCTTTGGTATCGATTTTTTGAAAGGGGTCCTTCTTGCAGCTGGTTCTGAAAGGAAGTTACTCTTTTTTCCTTCCATCAGGACGGCTCATGCAGTCTCATTCAGCCAGAGGTCTTCTTGCGCTCGTCGCGTGCGCGCCAGAGTAGCTGTCAGTTTGGTTTAATGAAACTTGATCTGATGACTCAACCACCCCCCAAGAAAGCGTCCAGAGTCCAAGCTGGTTGCCAGGCCAGTGTGGAAATGGCCCAGAACTTGGCTTCTCAGGAGAGGGTTTGCTGTCAGGGTTGCTGAGGGCAGGGCAATGAATGCTTGCCAGTTTCAGAGAGGTTCAACGTTGTGAGCTTTCCAACCTTAGGAACGGGCCTACTCCGTCTACTTGGGGCCAAAACGACTTGTAGGTCCGTAGCCCGGAGCCTAGTCCACCGGTAGACATGTTGGGTGAACACCTGGAGAATCCCTTCGCTCCCGGATTCGGTTGACCTCCAGAATCCATTCGGGACCTCCGGAGGTCAACCAGGCCTTCCGGAGGTCAACAAGACACATCTACCTGGAACCCCAAACATCCCCAAACAACCAGAAACATTTTTTGTTCCAATATGGCAATTGAAATCCTTTACATAGGAAATGGTTGTTTGGGGTTCCAGGTGGGATCAAAAGAGATAAAAGAGATGAGTCAAAGACCAATCCAGCCAATGTTCGATCCAGCCAGCTCCTTGTAGGTTCACAAGATCCATCCGCCATCACGAACTCCAGCGGACAGGAGTAGACAGCTCGCCGCTGGACGCAGCTGGAGGGGGGACCCAGACGGGCCTGTGCCTGGCGCGGGAAGGCTCTGCTGCTAAGCCGATTGCAGTTTCAGCGAACCCAGCCAAGGGTTTTAGAATACACTACACAGTCATTTACCGTTATGTCTTTTTTGAGAATGATTCCGGAAGTTCTGGGGTCTTGTGTCGGAAGTCCTCAAATCGGCTGGTCATTTTTCTGAGTGGCAGAGAAAGACAGATGCTGGCCGCTAGCCATGTCAATGTGATTCCGGGTGTTTCTTCTGTTTCTTTGTATATGGTTGTCGATCTAAAGGTCCTAGTCAGCAGTGTGTATGACGATGACCCGGAACATATCAAAATCTCATTTGGCGAAAGCTTTTTCTCGAGTTGGCGAAAGTAAATTCTTTTTGGCGAAAGATCTGGCGAAAGATTAAATATGTACTTTTGTGTGAATGTTCATTTGCTTTCTGAACAGCTGGTGGCAGTGACTCAGAAGCTAGATGAGCTGTGGAAGTTAGATAACCTGCTGCTGCTGCGGCTGCTACTACTACTACTACTACTACTACTACGACTACCACTACCACTACCACTACCACTACCTACCACTACCACTACCACTACCACTACCACTACCACTACCACTACCACTACCACTACCACTAC